AATAGGAGTAACTGGAAACTTCAATTGGATCCATTTGGTATGTTAATTGGGAACTTCACTTGGATCAAGTTTTGGCTTCTCATTAGCTTTTTCTTTATCTTCTCCTTCATTTCCATTGAATCCTATTCGTTGTAAATATATTGAAATCATATACAGCCATGCATTGGGAATGGAATCCATTTGGGATGGTAATTGGAAACTTCACTTGGATCAAGTTTTGGATTCTCACTAGCTTTTTCTTTCACTTCTCCTTCATCTCCATTGAAATCTCATTGACACCTCAAGTTGATACGGGATACATATGCGTTCAAGTTGAGAATTACTCAATTTCCCTATTGGTTTGCTCTTGGCCTTAGTATTCTTCCCACAAGATATCTTTTGGTATGTCTACCCCATAATTATGCTGCTCTCTTTATGCACTGCTTGTATATCTAGCACGTGGAGGAGTTTTAAGCAGAGTGTTCAACTTCTGTTGTCAACAATTCATGTTCTTAACATATATATGACTACAACAATAAATATTGACGAGGAACCATACTTAGAATCGTAGGAGATGGAGCAAATTCGACAAGTTTAGACCAAATGCAAATCTGGAGTTTTGAATCAATAATTAAATGAACAATAATGTTTTGAAGTAGTTTCTGTTATTTGCCTCCTTTGTATTACATTTCTGTTAGCATATAGCCAATGTAATCCGAGCAAAAAAACGTGTTGCAGATTTTCAGATTTTTTATTTTTATTTTTTTGTCTCTATTAAGAGAGAAACTTGGGTGGGGTGATCGCACCATCCACGTGGTGCTACCGGCCAACCCCGAAGCACCACCTCTGCAGATGGCTCACACACCTCGAGGGTGTGTGGTGGCCCACCCACCGAGGTGGTGCACATTGATAGTAGCGGTGCGACCGCCCTACCTAAGTTTTTTTCCTCTATCAAAGGATGTCAATTTATATTGGTACTACAATTTTTATTTGTTTCACTACATTTTAATTGTACTTCGTGTTATAGCAATCATTTTTTTAATTTTTTTTGTCAAATTCTTATCTTCAATTTTTCATTAATTAATATATCGTGTCATTAATGATGATTTACCTCAAATATTTTTTTGGGCTTTTTTGGGCGACTTTTTGACGATTTTCCGATTGAATCCCTTGAAGTTACGAAAAGACTTGGGTGTAATTGAAGAGGACATTATGGACTTTCCAACGTTATCAAAATTTGACGGTATCTATGATCGAAAAGTTGCGGCAAAAGCAACCCAAAAATTTGAAAATGTGGTTTTAAAACTTCAGTGACCGTTTCTACAAGTTTTTAAACTTCAATGACCATTTCTAAAAGTTTTTAAACTTCAGTGCTCATTTCTGAAAGCACCCCGAAGCTTAAGTGACCGTTACTAAAAATTTTAAACATCAATGACCGTTTTGTAATTTCTGCATAAGTTCAATGACCTTTTTGAAATTAATCCAAAAAAGTTTGCATGTAGAGTTTCATGTTTCTTAAAAAGTACAAACAAATCTCACGTAAAACAATTTAAAACATTCTAATTAAAGAAAAATATTTTATCATCTCAATTAACCCACCTACTCCTACACCCATCCCTTACATTCCACCACCACTACAAAATTAATCAAAGAGATAATTAAAAGTATAATAAAAGCAAAATAATAATAATAATAATAATAATAATAATAATAATAATAATAATAATAATAATGATGATGATGATGATGATGATGATAATAATTTATGACCCCATTTGACCCCCATTAATTTTAATTATAATGGGGAAAATAGTATTTTTTTTGAAAAATTGATGGTTGTAAAAGAATAAAAAGTTTTCGATTTACGTGTAATATTATTTTATTAAAAATTGTGTGATTCAAAATAAGAAAGAAAAATTTAATTTAATTTGATGAGATGTAATGGGAGGGAGAAGGAACGGTGGCTATATAAAAATGAATGACGCTTATTCCTCATCAAATAATTTTTAAACCTTTAATTCTCTTTTTAATTATTTGATGGTCATGTTGATGGAGGAGGATATGCATAGGAGTCAAGATAGGGACAGGTGGTTAATTGGAAAAATAATTTTTTTACTAGAATGTTTTAAATTGTTCTGAATAAAATTCATTTGCAGTTTTTAAAAAAATTATAAAATCTAGATACAACATTTTTATATTATTTCTTTTATATATATATTTGTTTATTTAAAGATGATAAATTAGTCATTTTATAATGTTATAATTGAAAAAATGGATGGTAAAGACATTTTAAGCAAAGAAATGTCGATCTAAATGTTCAAATGTCAAAATTGAAATGATAAGAACTATTCACACAATTAAAGCAAACGATAGGCACGTTTTTGCGTCAAATTACACATATTTTACGAAAGGATTTAATGAAATATGACGGAAAGCACGGATTTTGCAAGAAACGTTTGAAATAAGAGTGTAAATGGCAACTTTGAAATAATATGAACCGATTACAAACGATTAGAATGCTTTTTGGTAATTACCCTAAAGCATATTTACTCTCTAGATATTGAGGGAATTTAGCCCTTGTCTAACACCCATTAAAATTTTAATATATTTTTCTCTTTTTTTTTTCAATCACATATTCATCAATAAAATAATATTATAAGTAAATCAAAAAATTTCCTTCTTTTTTTACCACAAATTCTCCCAAAAAACACTATTCCATAATACATTTTATCAAAATTTCTCATTATAATGGATGTCAAACAAAGGCTTAATATAAACTAATTTACACTTTACTTTTATAATAAATAATGTTATTCATAGTGTCTATTGATAGTCATCCTTCGTGACATACACATGACAATATGTTATTTGATGCATAGGACGGTAAAAAAACTATCATATTAATTTATCAAATAATGTCATGTGTATGTCACGTAAGATAACTACTGATAGTAGTTCTTATTATATAATTCATCAGCTGCAATCTTAAAAGAGACATAAATTTAGTTAACAGTGGTTCTTATTATATTAGTTCATCAGCTAATATATAATCAGTCCTTCCTATAGCTTACTAGTTGAGTGTGGAAGGGGATAGCAAAACGAAAATAAGAAAATCAGAATTTTATGCATCGTGTTTTCCCCATCAAACTTATTTTTATTATATAACTTCTAAGACGATAAAACTAAGTCATGAGATTTGCCCTACTAAAAAACTTCCTATATTCACTTTTATTTTTTATTTTTTATTTTTGGGGCTTGCAAATCATTTCTTATGCATAAGTAATTGTTGTAACTAACTGATATTCGCTACATACAGATGTACTCATCCCTAGAATAAATGAAGCAATGATTTATGAAGAGAAGTAAGAGACAAGAGAAGGAAGGAGGGAAGCAAGAGAGAGAGACTTTTTAAGCGTAGCCAAAATATGCTGTAAGTAAATATGCAAGAGAGAGAAACTTTTTAAGCTTAGCCAAAAAATGCTATAAGTAAATATCTTGCATAATCCATGATAACCAATCCATCTCAAAGGAAGTTTGTGCATTTTCCCTCATAATATGACTTGACAGTGACAAGAGTATTCTAATTAAAGCCTATGGAGGTGGACTCTTGAGAGTGTTTATATGAATATTATAAAGATGAAATATTGAAGAACAAGGAGCACTAGCCATACCAGTGTGAAATATATTTCAAAGGACGGAATGAAACTTAATTATAGGAACACGTTTTAACAATATTTACAGTGAACCATAAATTTGATCATGGGCCACAATTGCATGACTATTTGTGTGAACTCATGAAGTTTGTTCTATAAATCATGATAAAGAATTCATCCTGCGACAAAGTCATGCTTTGGATCAACGAAGCTTCTTTCTTAGCTAAGAATCTGTAGCTTTTGTTTTTCAATAAAAAGTGTATATCATTTGATCAACTCATCAATAAATATTCAGTACAAGTATTCAATTCAACGTATATGCCTTTTTAAATTGTATTTAGTCATAATTTTATGTTCCAAGCAAATAATTTTATGATTTATCCTTCTCAATATTAGGACTTGTGGTTAACATTGTCAAAAAGGACCGCTCAAACTCTTATAAATTGGTCTATGTCTTCATCCTTATTTGATGTGAAATTTTATCCTTTAACAATCAATTTATTAGTAAGTTCTGGATCCGTAAAATGAAACCTTAGCATGTCATTTAGAAATCCATTCGTTAATATGATTCAATTAAGTTACCGTTGCCAATTATGAGTTGATGCATGGTCAAATGACAGCCTCTATAGCTTCACAAACTTGATATATTTGATAACTTGTTAAATTGTTAATATGGGTTGCAGTTTGAAAGTGGAAGAATCTTAATGATCGCACATGTATACCTATTCTTGACTTCATCTACACCTTGTCATCACTTGCAACTATTATAGAAATACAGAACTGTTAATATGGAATGCCACTTGTCAACACTTGGACGGTTCATTAGCTCTAAATTGAATCTCTTGAGAAATTTCTAGAAGCGGAAGCGTCTAACTTTGAGGCATTATTCTCCAATTCAGTTGGCTTGGGTTGTCACTATGCATGAGCTGGTTGAAAACTCTAGATTTTTCGTTCTCCATTTGTACATCACATTTCCAATTTGAGAGCGGAATCAACTCCTCGCGCGTTTGAATTTGATTTGAAATGGTTGATGAGTTAATTTAATTATTTATATTTGAACTAAGATGTCTTTTTTTTTTCTTTTTTCTTTTTTTTCTTTTTTTTTAAAGAAAAAACGAGATTAAAAAATAGTTCACAAACCATATGATATAAAGATGGCTTGTTGAATTATTTTTCAATAGCTGTCGATGACACAGCAAAGTTTTTCAGTTGGGGTTCAGGTATGATATAGAGTTTTTGGGTGTGGTTGGAGTTCTAATTTGTGTTTTCAATGAATAATTTGGAGGGAATTATGCCTATATATAGACTTTAAGCAATTTGCATATTGACATGAGTTGCCAACCAGCACCAGTTAATCGAGTCAAGAAATGCAAGTTGATCAAACAATGTATCATTATATATCAAAATTATGAATTTAGTGATCCAATTAACAGAATTATGAAATAACTCAATTACGACATTTGGTATTTTTTTATCCACAAATTAAATACGGAAAATTGTTGCAAAAATGACACTAACCTCATCCACCATACTTGTAAGGAGGAGGCTTTTCCCCGAAAGTTGATTTAGCAAACAGAAAACAAGCAATTCCCAGGCCTATCCCCGCGGCTCCTCCAAGAATAATAGCCACTGTCTTCTGTGTATTCTTCCTTGTCCCTACGTTCCCTACACCAATCACATTACACTCACATAAATTAAAACTGCAACAATTTTTTTCCTTTCACTTTCCTTTTTTTTTTTTTTTATTCGGGATTTCTTTAACATTTTGAAAATAAGAAATAGACAAATTCATGTATTGGATAAATTTATCAATGAACTAAAAGGGATAACGGAAAAAGATTTATGTTTAAGACTCCAAAATTATCAAGAAGAAAACTTTGTTTGTTACATAAGTAGATGTAGCCCTTTTGGACGCTTGAATTTTAAATAAGATTATTAACCAAGCAAAGCTAAATGTTCTGATCAGGACAAGTGGGACAGTTAGTTATGTCCTACTATCTACACAATTCTGTCTATGTTCACAATCATGTTCGGGAAAAGGTACTTGTATAGGAGTGGTTGTGCAAGGGCGATTCCCCCTTTCCATTGTAGTCCAAGTGATAACAAACAGCCTCTATACCTATTCTTGACTTCATCTACCAAATTTGCGATCATCTCCACGCATTAAAGATTGAGTCAATATGTTAAATATTGTAAATAAATATGATTAAATAATTAAAATTAAACATATTTGATTTGTTTACCGTACAACGTAAATGGATATAAAGACTTCAAAGGGGTATAACATATTCAAAGTCTCCAACTAAATCTAGTCCTCATATCCTCAACTTATCAAAAAGTCAATACCTTAAAGGTATGTGCTAAAGAAAGGCACGAGTATTGACAACCCCACCATCTATACATTTGACATTTGCCTTAACGATTAAGAAAATGCCCGATCATCATTTACTAAAACTCATAAATATGTTCGTATCATCTGCCAAACTCAACTATTTCAAAATTTATTTTCAATAATGTATTTCATGGGATTCACAACTTTTACCAATTTTTCCATCAAATCTTACCAAAGCCAATTAGGCAATGGTCTAAGGCCTTAGATATTTGAGGGACCTCAAAAATAAACCATTTGTTCTCTGGTTCTTGCAGACAGTGGGAACATATCTTGTTATTGCAAATTATTGCATGACGGGAATGACCTTTATGATTTGCTAAAGAAATGAAGGTACTTTCCTTGGTTTCTTCATTTTGCTTTATTTCCACTCGTCATTCATTTACCAATATGGGTTGATTCCCTTTCCTAGAATATATGCTCATGCCAATTTCCCAAATTTGTGGATTTAATTGAAACTCAAAAAAGTTTAACCATATTTTCTTACCTTCGTTCCAGTCCATGATAATCTTTGTCAAATTTTTAATTTGTGAACATTTTAGTCCAACCTATCCTTTCCATCCAATCTCATCTTTGCATTGACATACGTTATGTGTTGGTTGGACAATAAAAGAAAATGTTAGACAGCATTAAAGAATAAACAACCATCACAAATTCGCGACATATTTAGAGAATACTGCCAAAGAAATCCATTTTAAGGATCTTTTAATCACGTCCAAACAAGCTCTTAGCTCTCAACAGTTTTCATGAGCTCGATTTATAGTACTAATTAAACAATAAAAAGATATTAAAACTTTTTCCATATTAAACTACATTTTTGTCCAGCACTAAGCATGGCTCCTAAATATGATATGATGGTAAACATGTGGGCCTTTCTTGTTTTAATAGGAATCCTCATCTTTGAGAATTATGTTAGTTGTTATTATGTCCTCTGAGCATGTTTCCTCAAGAATCAATAGAAAATAGCTATTTATTTTTTCATTTTACTCAAACTCGTGTATTTCATGTTGAACTGCCTCGTATAGAAATTACAGGAGATTAAGTTATGAGAAAAAAGTTATGTTTAAGTTCTTCAAGGATCAAGAGGTGAAAATATCATACCTGAGGGCCTCATCATAATTATTTGCTAGCCCCGAGAACCCGACCCCACTAGTCCCTTTCTAGGAACCACCTTGGTGAGCCTCTCTTCGTCAACGAATTTAGTTTCACAGATTCGCCTCACTTTCTCCACCAAGAAGCCTAGTTTACAGCTTTGCCTCACCGAGTGACTCCAACAAGTCACATGAAGGTTAACAAAATGTAGCTCACATGTAGCATCCATGTTGGATGAGGATCAATCATTTTGAGCCACTTTCAACGAGCCTGGAAGGTTGTTACTACGTAGATGAATATGTGGATCGCTAGATTCTGACATTTGCTCAGCAGATTAGCACTTTGAGGACAACAGGATTCAACCAACCCAGTTTGACACAGAACAACTTATTAAGCAACAGGAAATCTCTTTCAATGTGGATGAGGAATTTTATTCAGCAACATAGGTGGTGTGCTCTAAACTGACTGCAAGGGGCCACGTCCTGAATTTCTAGAAACAATCTTGAAAGCAATACTAATCTCGGCAAGTTTAATAAATGTTTTGGGTTTCCTTCCGAGTCCCATGGCCACTCCGTTGTGGCGCAACTCTGGTGCCTATCCCGCACCAAGAGTGCCTCAACAGCCGAAGCTGGAGGTGAGGGTCCGCTGGAGCTGCCTCGACAACAATTGCTGGAGGCGAGGTTGCGGTGTACCCAGAAACCTCAAAAGTCATAGTTGGAGGTTGAATTTTGGTTTAGACATTTTATCGATCGCCTGATGGACGAAGTAGCGCTGAGATTTTATGAGAACAAATAAAGGCTTCTTCTAATCCCATGCTCAACACAATATCCCAATTACGCCCGTTTTAGAATATCCGCGTCCTACGTAGGCGAAAGACAAGAGACATTATTTATAAACATGGAGAGGTGTCCCATGGTTCAACGCGAGGCTTGAATTGAATATCTCCACTATTTGAGAAAAATCTAAAAGACTTACATATAGCAGGTGGCGGCCCAAGGTTCTTACCACCAATGCAGGAAGATTCGGAGCCCTCGGAAGCGACTACCACTGCGCCTGCCTCGATGGCATTCAACGGAGGCTACGGAAGCCACGGCGGGCCAGATCTTGGCCCAGTGTTCAGTCTAACACGAAGAGTTGTAATTGGTCCGGCGAGATCAAGAGGGGGGATCGAGATCGAGTGGCATGTAGGTCGCAACGCCGGTTCTACGGGAGCCTCAGTGGCAGTGGGACCACCGGGAGTATATCTTGGCTCAGTGTTACACCGAGACCAAGGGGGATCGAGATGGCCAGCGTCACCAAGGCTAGATCTTGGCCCAGCGTTCAGTCTAACACGCAGTTGTACTTGGTCCGCCTAGACCAAGGGGGATCGAGATGGCCACCGTCACCGATGCTAGATCTTGGCCCAGTGTTCAGTCTAACACGCAGAGTTGTACTAAATCCGCCGAGATCAAGGGGGATCGAGATCGAGTGGCATGTAGGTCGCAACGCCGGTGCTACGGGAGCCTCAGTGGCGGTGGGAGCACCGGGGCTAGATCATGGTCCAGTGTTCAACACCGACACCAAGGGGGATCGAGATGGAGAGGCATGTTGGTCCGTCGTAGCCGGACTGTTTTAACGACTATGGAGGCGGTTCTCATCAGTAGGATTTTGGTGAAAATTATGGAGTTTTGACAGTTACGCACCAAAATTTATAGCATTGCACAATAAATTTGAGCTGCAATTATTGACCAAATTTTAGTAAAATTACTTATATACCATTTTGACATTTAATTTATTCTATTTGAATGAAGGGCATTTGTGGTAATTTAACAAATATTGAATCATAAAATTGGGCCGAAAGAGGTGACCCACGTTTCCAAACAACTCAATTTTTCCTTAAAATCTTGTGAGAATAGCTTCCAAATAAACGCACAATTAATTATTGACGCATATTAATTTAATGGATTAGTGGCGAAATTAATGATGATAAATTTGAGATAATATTTTGATTATTGACGACATGTTAAGAATTAATTAGAAGGACAGCAAAATTTGATAGCATATTTAAACTCTATTTTCCAAAAAGGTAAATATGTCATTATATATTTTATTAAATAGCGTATAACAACTTATTTTTTCATTATATGTTAATAAATAAATAAAAAGTAAGAAAAATATTTTTCCCTCACCTAATAGCATAGAAACAAAATATTTTGACATAAATTATCATCAAGAACGATGAAAATAAAAATTCGACAAAAAAAATTAAGAAAATAATTACTATGACGAGCAAAATTAAATGTAGTGTAACTAATAAAAATTATAGTGGCAATAGAACCATCCTGAAATAAAACTTGACCTCCCTTAGTAGAGACAAAAAAAAATCACCAAAGAGGTGATTCTTTCATCTTATTTGAAGCTTTGAAACACGATTTTTTGCTCGAATTACATTGGCTATGTGCTAACAGAAATGCAATACAAAAGAGGCAAATAAGCAACTTCAAAACATTATTGTTCTTTCCAAATAACTATATTTAATAACTGACTCAAAGCTCCAGATTTGCATTTGGCCTAATCTTGCTGAATTTGTCCCCTCACCTGCGATTCTATGTCGGGTTCCTCGTCAACATTTATTGTTGTGGTCATATATATGTTAAGAACAGGAATTGATGGCAGCAGAAGTTGAACACTCAGCTTAAAACTCCTCCACATGTTAGAAATACACGCAGTGCATAAGGAGAGCAGCATAATTATGGGGTAGATATACCAAAAGACATCTTGTGGGAAGAATACTGAGGCCAAGAAACAAACCTGTAGGGAAACTGAGTAATTCATGACTTGAATGCGTATGTATGTATCCTATATCAACCTGAGGTGTCAATGGGATGTTAATGGAGATGAAGGAGAAGAGAAAGAATAAGCTAGTGAGAAGCCAGAGCTTGATCCAACTGAAGTTTCCAATCACTATACCAAATGGATCCCATTCCCAAGGCATGGCTATATATGATTTCAGTATGTTTACAACGAATAGGGCAACGTATCTTAGATCAAAGTATGACATTATTCTTAACTGAAAGATTGTTAAGAGAGAGAAATTGAGGAGAAGTAATGAATCGCAGAATTCTTGGTTTGGGGTTTGGAAGAGAAAATTAAGGAGACGTGATGAATCACAGATCTTCTTCGTTTAGGGTTTGGAAGAGAAAATGAGAATTCTTCAGAAGTGATGATTTGAATATGAAGATGATCCATGATATATATACACAGGGAGAAAATGAGAATTCTTCGAAGTTGGATATGAAAGTATATAAAGTTGGACTAATGCTTTGAAGTTGAATATAAAGTTTATAGTATATAAAGTTGGAACCATAAAAAGTTTATAGTATATAAAGTTGGAACCATAGAAGTGATGATTTGAATATGAAGATGATCCATGATATATATACACAAGAAGAAAATGAGAATTCTTCGAAGTTGGATATGAAAGTATATAAAGTTGAACTAATGATTTGAAGTTGAATATAAAGTTTTATAAATTTTTTATGGTTCCAAATTTATATACTATAAACTTTATATTCAACTTCATATGGTTCCAACTTTATATACTATAAACTTTTTATGGTAAAATGGTTCCAACTTTATATACTATAAACTTTATATTCAACTTCATATGGTTCCAACTTTATATACTATAAACTTTTTATGGTTCCAACTTTATATTCAACTTCAAATCATGGTTGCAACTTTATTTACTATAAACTTTATATCCAACTTCAAATCAACACTTCGAAGAATTCTCATTTTCTCTTCCAAACCCCAAACGAATCCTGCCCCAAACCCACTTTGTTGCCATTACTGATGGGCTTTTAACGGGTGACTTGTCTATAAATAAAATTATTTTTATTTTTTTCTTCAGGCAATGCGACGGGGCGCTCCGCCCTGTCAACTCGTTTGGGGCGGTTTTTTTTGCCAACTCATTCGGGGCAGGGCGGATTGGGTTTTTTTGCCATCCTTACAGTGAATGAGAAGTTTCCTAATTTCCAGAAAGAGTAATTAGCACAAAACGTCCTTACCTTTTAATGTTATTGTGCAAAACGTTCATACCTTTCATTTTTTAACACTTTTACCCTTTCCTTCACATTTTATTGTGGAAATCTTCTTTTTCAACAAATTTTTCATGTAAAATGGCAAATATACCCATTATTTAAATAAAACAATAAAAAAGAAAAAAAGAAAAAAAATTAAAGAATAAATTGCAATCATACTCCCAAACTTTTTTAAAAAGTACAAATGAATCCTAATAAATTATTAACAAGGTATTTAGCACAAAACATCTCTAACTTTCATTATTATTTTGCAACATGTCCTACCTTTTATTTTTTAACATTTTATTTCATTGCAAAAATTGTTATTTTCACCTATTTTCTCAATTAGAAGCTATAAAATAACAAATATACTCTCCTGTTTAAATAAACAAATATAAAGAAATGAAAAATAAAGAACAAATTGCAACTGTACTCCCAAAATTTTCAAAATAAACTACAAATGTTGCATTTCATTCTTTATCTTTCTTTATTTTTATTTTGTTTATTTAAATAAGAGTGTATATTTGTCATTTTACAGCTTTTAATTGATAAATAGATGAAAATAACGATTTTCGCAATAAAAATATGAAATAAGGGTGAAAATGTCAAAACATAAAAGGTATGGACGTTTTACAACTTAATAATGAAAGGTGGGGACTTTTTTGTTAATTACGCTTTTAATAATTTATTTGGACTCATTTGCATTTTTTTTAAAAGCTTAGGAGTATAATTACAATTTATTCTTTAATTTTTCTTTTCTTTTTTATTGTTTTATTTAAATAGGGGGTAAATTTATCATATTACACGAGAAATTTGATGAAAATGATGATTTACACAATAAAAGGTGAAAATAAGGATGTGCCAAAAAAATGAAAGATAAAGACCTTTTTTACACAATAACATGGGAATGTAAGGATGTTTTGTGCTAATTACCATTCCTAGAAACATCAAAATGAACCAAAGATGGTTGATGTAAAAGCACAAATTGGCAATGTTGTAGGACCGGCCCAAAACATTGCAAATTGGACGTCATAAATAGTTCCAAAGCGCTATCCCCTGCCGATGCTTTCATAGGTAGGCCTGAAATGATGCATATGCAATGTCAATAATCCAGTCTCCAAAGAGATGCAGTCAATTTTGATTGAAAATGGATTAAAGAGAGCTTGAGATATGGAGGAAGACAAGTTCAAGGCGTGGAGGCATAAGCCAAAACTGTTGATGGTCGTCTCTTCATTGTTAATTAAATCTTCTTTTGTTTTCCATCATTACTAAAGAAATATATTTCCAATAGCGTTCATTTTGAAAAATATCTTATCTTCCGTCTCTCTAATTCTCTATCTGAAGCCAAAGAGTAGGGTTAGCAAAAATTAAACTCCCTTTAAACCTGATATATGCGGGCCTTGCACCGAACTAGGTAAGTATTACCCACTTAATCGGCCATTCAGATCGGGTTCGGGTCGAGGAATTTTGCCCCGAGGCGGGTATGGGTAACACCCGCCCCCGTCCCACTTATTTATTTATTTATTTAAAAATTCAGTACTTTAAATGGAAAATTTTACGAAATTTCGTTAATTCTAATAAAAGACAACAATTAAGATTATTTAAGGAATACAATAAACAATAAAAACCTTAGTTTACCAAATATATTATAATAATTTAACTTTTAAAATAAATAAATTATTTTAAAATTTTAATAATTATATTATTATCTCACTTTAATGAATGGAGTCAATAAAATGACTTATCAAAAACTAAATAAAAAAATTAAAAAGTGTACGTAAACGAGACAAGTCCTGCCCTGCCTTAAACGGTTGACGGGGCAAGAAATTAGCTGACGGGGCGGGGTCATTGTCATCCCTACTGGTAGAATAGTTTCTCTTGCAGGCACAGAAAACTAGTAATATCATCCACATAAGAATTTTTTCCTCCTTCAAAATTTCCTTATGTTCTCATTTTTTAGTACAATAACAAACTAAAATGCCATAAAAATATTTAATCGACTCAATTATTAATTCTTTTCTCTATTTTTTTTTATCTCATTTATATTAACATTAGAATTCGATTGAATAAAATTTAATTGTAATCAAGTTTATAAATTAATTTTTATTTCTATATATATATTAATTATTTAATATATTATTAGCGGTTCGACCTTGATTTAATCTTTCAACCCTTAACCCTTTAACTTTTTCGGATATATGGCCAGGTGTTTTTTCAGAATATTGGATATTGTGTGTGTGTGTGTGTATATATATATTTTATCATAATCACCAGTATTGTCCAATTAACACATAATGAATGTTGAATCATTGATGCAAACATGCCATTGAAGGAAAAAGATGAGGTGGATAGTATGTTCTTCCAATAAACACGGTATTATACAATTCAAAGATTCTCATTGACCTGATATGAAGGCAAGCACATGTGGCCAACTTTTTGAACTTATATTGGTAAATGAATAATCATGCTACTTGTACAATAAATTTGACAATGTGTGAGTTGGCAAGCATCATGTTTATTGATTTGAAAAATTGTTTCTGAATTCAATCGCTGAGATCTTTACACTTTACACATT